TCCTCCTCCGCCTCCTCCTCCTCTTCTTCCTTGTTCTCACACCTGTTACGCAAGCACTGAGTTATATTCCCGGTCCTCTTTCCTTATCTCTTGCACTCTCTTTTTCTTTCTTTCTCTGCTTAGGCTAGGGAATTTCTATTATCTTCAACACAACTCACTCTTTCCCCCAGTCATTTCTATTCCTCTGTTGAACATACCCAATGAATTTTTAATTTGGCTATCACATTTTTGTTTTAGTTTTAACATTCCCATTTTGGTCTTTTTATGTGTTCCCTTTCTCGGTTTCACTGCATTCTACAGATGTTTATCTTCCTTAGAGAATGGCTATAATATGCTTTAAGATTAGTTTGTCAATTCCAACATCTGGGTCATCTTGGAGCTAATGACTGTTAACTTTGTTGACAACAATTTGCAAGGATAGTTTAGAAACTAGGCAGTGACTTGTTCTTCAGTGCAATTCTCAATGCTTTTGGTGTGCTGTTTAAGGGCACACCCACACATTTGCAGTTCAGGAGTTAGCTAGGACTTAATAAACAACTTTATGGGATTCCTTCTGTAAGCTTCTTCATTTCTGTAATATGACCAAGTCTCAGACTTCCAGAGTCTCCCAATCTAGACGGTAAATAAGGACATGAAAGATACCCTCCAAGGAAAAGAAACAGTCATTAATCATGTCATTAATGTCATTAATCATCAGGGAAATTCAAATTAAAGCCATAATGAAATAAATACCATGACATATCCACTAGAATGCTTAAAATTTAAAAGATTGACCAGTTGCTTGAGCAGCTTGTTAGGCGGTAATGCAGAGGAATTGGAGTGGAATTAATCTTATACCATATAAATTATGTCTTCATAAACTTGATGTTAAAGAAATCTTTAGAACAACATGTTGATTAGAGGGATTGTCAAAAGTGTGCTCAGGTACTTCAAAATTGAGTAAAGGAGAATTATTTAAGAAAATCTTTATGCTTCAAAGAAGAATGAAATTTTAAGGCATCCTGCAAGATTTGTATATGCTGTTTTATAACCTTTTTTGATTAGTACATGGTCAATATGACAATAAATGTCTGTATCTTAAATGGTTACATAGTAGCCAGTTTTATATCATAATTTGTTAAGCTGGACCTCCTTCGTTTTTGGACATTTAGGGTTGTTTTCAGTTTTATTTTCCTTTAGTTTAAACACTACAGTCTCAGTAGGTATAGTCTTCATAGGTATTATCTTAGAATAGATTCCTAGAAAAGGAATATCTGTGTTAAGGTCACACATATTTTAAAAACTTTTATATATATGTTTCTAATTCTTACCCCAAAATATTCTATAAACATTTATTATTTTTATCTTAGTTTTCTACTTTCTTTATAATTTTGTAGTATTTTTTAAGAAACTTTATAAACTTTAGGTAGTTAAACCTATCATTCTTTTTCAGTTTATATTTTTGAGGTGCTGGGAATGGACCCTGGGCCTTGCACATGCTTGGCAAGCGCAAGCACAAGCACAACTGAGCTTCATCCCCAGCCCAGAATCTGATTTCTCTCGCTTTCATCCTTTCACACTGCTTTGATGTCATATTGAGGCTTTCCTCAGCCTGAGCATAGAAATGTTTATGCTGCCTTCTAGTTTTGTTCATTATTTCGTTTTTAAATTAAATTCCGTATGGTTTAAACAGTTTATTTGGTGTGACACAGGATAAAGCTTCTGTATTTTTTTGCCACCTATTTAACCAGTTTTATATATGTTAATAGTGGTTATTTTTCCCATACTGTTTTTATTGGCCTCCTTTATCATATTCTAAATGCTTTTGTTTCCATTACTGTCATCTGTTTTCTTCTGCTGGTCTGTTTACTTTGGCGTCTGAAATGGACTGCCTTATGCTTTAGTAGTATAATCTTATAAATGGCCAGTGTTGTAGTTTACACCTACAGGAGGATCTCTAGGAGTTCGAGGTCAGTTTGGGCTACATAGTAGGACCCTGCCTCAAAGAAAACAGACAACCAGATATATGTGTAACTATCTGGCATTGTAAATGTACTCATACCGAAATAAAACAACCAAGGTGAAGACTGTTGTAGTTAGGGTTTGCAAGGGAATAGATTTATTACAGGACACTTAATTTATAGGACTATTTTATAATATTCACCCAAAAAGTTGAATGCAGAGAAGTGCAAGAGATCTGTCTTCATGCTAGAGACCTGAAGAATCCAGCCAGCTGAGAGCCTGGATTCCAGGGCAGTGCCCTGCAGGAGTCCAGCTGAAGGCCTAGAGCCCGTGGTATTGTTCTATGCAAGTTCATATCAAGGAACTACACCAGGAAGGCCAAAAGGCCAGTGGTGAAAGTTAGAAAGTTACACGCAGACGTGTGTGTGTGTGTGTGTGTGTGTGTGTGTGTGTGTGTGAAGGATCTGTGCCAAAAGGCTGAGGGATTTGCACTGGAGCCAGGAAGTGATGCTCAAGGCAAAGACCAGAGCTCCCTAGAAGAGAACAGCAGCCAGCCCCAGCGACGGCAAGGACTCATGCTCCTCTAACAAGAATAGCCCCATTCGTATCAGAAAAATCAGCTGTGACAGTCTTCTCCAGGAGAACCAACAGCATGCAGTCTTCCCCTCCCATTCTCCTTTTATGTCATTTTTGGCAACAATCCTCAAGGTAATTCACCCATGTGCAGAAACTATGCTGACACAGTTCAGCTGGGCATGCCCACTCAAGATGACTATTAATTAGTACACCACAGAGGCAAAAGAGTATGAGGACTTGTGTGGTTATTATAGTGTTGTAAGTAGTCTAGTTCACTGCCCTCTGGCATAATTAAAATGTGAGTTATCCATGTTTGCAATAACAGCGATTAAATGTCCATAGGTAAAAGGAAAAGATTAGTTCATATTTACACTCTTCTGAAGTTGTTACTTTTATGTGTTCTTTGTTTTGCCTCCTCCTCATCAAGACTCTAAACACTGGGTAGAAGTATGTTTCTTATTTATAAATCCCAGTAGTCTTAGTGTAGTGTCTTGTACAGGGATCATTGCATTGTGACCAGAAATGCCAAGGGAAATAAGCCAGTCAGAAAGAGGCAAAACTCTTCATGTTTTCACTTCTGTGAGTAGTCAAGCTCTTGGAAAGTGGAATGGCAGTTATGAGGGGCTGTTGAGGAAAGTGAGAGTTCTTATTTGTTTCAGAGTTTCAGTTTTTACAGGATAGAAAAGTTGTAGAAATCATTTGTACAACAGTGTGAATACAGTTGTATTATTGTTTTGTGTTGCTGTAACAAGATACCTGAGGCTAGATACAGAAAAGAGGTTTATTTTGTTCACATTTTTGGAGGCCAAAAGTCCAAGATTGGGCAACCGCAACAGTTTTAAGTATTGTCTGCCTGCTTTTTCTCTTATAATCAAAGCAACATACATTTTTAAGTGTCACAGAATTGGAGAAGTTCAAGAGTACTTCGTGATCATATAATGCTCACTTTGCAGATAATTAAATAGAGACCCATTTTAATGCCAAAGGGTTCTCAGCTTGTAAGTGGCAGAAGAATCCATGATTCAAACATACATGTTGGTGCAGAGTCAATCAAAGGGAAATTATTTTATCCCCTTCTGATCAGAAGGATTCCATTTAACATCTTCTGAGATGCACTGGAACTAGAGAAAGATGACCCTCAAATTCACATTTGTACCTTGCCCTGTCAGGGCAGGGATGGGAGGGGAGTTTGGAAAAAGGAAAGTCCATCTTGTGGCCCAAGTATATAGAAGAATTTCAATGAGAAGTGGGCAGTCAACTGAGCCAAACCTGCACTTGTAAGGTATCTTTCAGGTATAATGAGAAGAAAGTACTGAGGTTGGGGCCCAAAGGGCTTTGGAAACCATCGTATATTAGAAATATTTCCCTACCCACGTTTCAGGAGCAGGTCACATTATAAAAAAGTGATGCCTGCTCTCTTACCCACTCTTCAGTAGTCATCCACCTGAAACAAGATGTGAGAAAATCAGCGGACAGGAATGACATAGTAAAAGGCTTTCTACAAAATGATTGTATAGACTTGTATAGGTGTACAAGTGTTGAAGGTGTTGACTATGGTTGCTTATTCCCCTTTTAATTTCATCTTTCATTAAATTTAGGGATCTGATTTTTTTTTTTAGTTCTTTGTGTATTTTAGATATTAGTTCTTTGTCTGAAGGATAACTGGTAAAAAGAAATTTCCCATTCTGTGAGTTATCTCTTCACTCTGTTGGTGGTTTCTTTTGCTGTGCAAAAGCTTTTTAATTTGATGATATCCCAGTTGTTGATTCTTTGTAATATTTCCTATGCGATTGGTGTTTTGTTCAGGAAGTCTTTGTTTACTCTTCTGTCTTCAAGTTTTTACCTATTTTATCTTCCAGAAGATTAAGTGTAACACATTTGAAAGAGTTGATTGTGTCTTATTTTTCCTTGATTTTTGTAACAGGGCCACCTTAAATACAATCCTTCTTTTTTTACCTTACTATTTTCCTGATAAAGGATGGTGCAATTAGAATAGTATGTTCTTAATGATGGTTTGACATGAATATCCTTCACAGCCTAAGGATCATGTATGTTCTTCATTTCTTCATTGTTGTTCTGTTATAAATCTTAGCTTCATTATGCCTCACTTCTCACATCTGTAAAATGGGCTAAAATAATCCCTGCCACCTGTAACTGCTGTCAAGTTTAAATGTTAATATACATAAAGCTTTTAGGACATGTCTGGGATATAGTAAACACTCAGATGTAGAACTGTTATTGTTTGTAATTGTTCATCCTACCCGTTAAATTTTTGTCTTTATATATAGTTCTCTTCAATATATATTCTTTTAGCCTTCCTTCGTGGTCTCTTCTAAAATTAAGGAGCCTCTTCCAATTTCAAATAACTTGGTAAAAAGAAAATATATACATAGAAGAGATGATTGATTTAGTTTCTCCAGTCTTTTGGAGGGTAAAATTACTTTCCTTCAGGAAGTAAACTTGTTTTTTCCTGTATGTTACAGGTGGTATGCAAGATTACAATTATGTATGGGCCAATTGTTTTGAGATCACATTAGAATTATCTTGTTGCAAGTACCCACCTGCTTCACAGCTTCGACAGGAATGGGAGAACAATCGTGAGTCTCTGATCACATTGATTGAAAAGGTAAAAATAGTGGACTGGAAGATTGGGATATAAATTATGGATTAAGTAAGGGAGAAATTGGGTTGCATGTGAATGGTAATCTATATTAGGTTTCCTCTATCATCTATTTTTATTATTTGAGATTATAGATTACCTTTAGAATTATTACAGTCTATTAAAACATATTTTAGGGGCTGGGGATTTAGCTTAGTGGCACAGCGCCTGCCTGGCAAGCTCAAGTTCATGAGTTTGATTCCCGGTACCGGAAAACAAACAAACAAACAAACAAACAGAAAAAAAACCAATAAAACATATTTTAACTCTGTCTCTTTTGCCTGTCCCCAGCTCTCTGTTCACAGGGTTCTCTTTACCAGTGTTAGAACACTTTTATAGATTGAAATAATGAGCCAAATTAGGGGCTAGGCATTGTACTAAGTAGTAGGCTGTTTTTTAATCCTCAATACCAAAAAATGAAAAAAAAATGAGGTAGTTAGCCAAATTTGTACTACTGGGGGTTGGGAGTGTAGCTCACTGTAGAGTGTATGCTTGGTATGCACAAAGTCCAACTCTCAGCACGCACACATACATACACAAATCAAAAAGGAAGCAGAGAAACACAAATTTGTACTGCCAGGTTCTTACAATGTCATGTGTTCATTTTTTTCTAGAGAACTTCTATCATTATATGAACCATGGACATCCATTTAATTTAAATATCAGGGAAACTAATACAGTTATTATATGTACCAGGAAGTGTAGTTTGTTGAGACAGTTAGAAGCCTGGCTTTAAAGAGGAGACTTCATAAGCAGCTTACTAGTGTAGAGTTCAAACATATAACTCTTGTTTAAGGATTTCATAGTTTTATCTATATTTTATTTCAAGTTTAAAAGATTGAAAAATATTGGGAAAAATAGGGGATTAAGCTTTTCATTTTTTTATTAGAAAGTGTAGCATCAATGCAGAGAACTTATGTTCTCTTCACTTCTACACTGATTGTCTCTAAGCTTTGATGCATGTTTTTTAGGTCCACATTGGAATTAAAGGATTTGTTAAAGATTCAGTAACAGGATCCGGATTAGAGAATGCAACCATTTCAGTGGCTGGTATTAATCATAACATCACAACAGGCAGATTTGGTGATTTCCACAGATTACTTGTTCCTGGAACTTACAATCTTACAGCACTTTCAGCTGGGTAAGAATTTAAACTAGACTCAGTAAAAATGTCAGACCTCTGTTTTATACCTAAGACAGAAAGATAGTCCAATAAATGTTACTCACTGTATCTGGCTTCTTTTTGCCTTTATTTTTCGCTTTTTATAATGAGAAAATACTGTGATGGAATATTTTGTCACACAGTCTAACAGTGTTAGACTATGCATAAACATAGAATGCTGGGGAAGGCCAATTTCAAAAGCTTGAAAACAGGCTCAGTTGTGTAAAGCATTGCCTCAAGGATAGTTGAATACCTGAGGAAAAGAAACCACCAAGTCTGTAAATGACATTTGAACAACTGTCTTATCCTCAGCTTTCTAATATTTTAAAGAGGTAGTTTTCCACTTCCCCTGGGAAACTTTGTGGAACTTCACTTTCATAAGGATTTAATTGGTAATCTTTAGTTTAATTTAAACTTTGCTATTTGGGCAAGAAGTTAGAAGTCAGTCTGATAAAGCATTGCAAATAATTCTAAGTTTGTGGTGTTGAGTATTGTAGCAACAGTTACAAAGGGGTAATAAGCATAGTCTTCCCTTTGAATGTGACTTTTTTTTTTCAGTGAGCATTTTAATGTGTGATACCTGAGGTTAGTAAGAGAAGTAACACTTTAAAGACTTAATCTGAAATTTCTGTGAAATAACATCCTAAAACTTTTAAATTTACACAAACATCCTTAGTTTTGAGTTTGATATTCTACTAAGTGCAAAAGTATGAAAAAGGTACTGTCTTTTTTATAATGCTGAAGCAAGTGTGTTCTTAACTCCAAGCCATCTCCTTTCCCAAATATTTTTTCAGGTATATGCCTTTGACTGTTCATAATATAATTGTGAAAGAAGGACCAGGCACAGAAGTGGATTTTTCCCTTCGGCCAGCTGTGACTTCAGTAATCCCTGACACAACTGAGGTTTTGGCAACTGCTAGCACAGTTGTTCTTCCCAATATTCCTTCTGGAACATCATCCTCCCACCAGCCCATTCAGCCAAAAGATTTTCACCATCACCATTTTCCTGATATGGAAATCTTTTTGAGAAGATTTGCCAATGACTATCCTAACATCACTCGGCTTTACTCATTGGGAAAATCAGTAGAATCAAGAGAACTCTATGTCATGGAGATATCTGATAACCCAGGTGTCCATGAACCAGGTAATTGGTATGACTTTAAATATAATTTTAGTAGTGTCTCTCAAGCCTATGTATTACATTGCTGTGCTTTGTCCAGAAAAGTCACTTATAGCACATATAACTTTAATTAAGAAAACACAATCAGAAAAGAAGAAAGAAAGTGTACCCAATCTTTTCCCAGAAAAGAAAACCTTCTTGGTAATCCATATTAGGTATGATATTTACTGTGTGCATAGATTAGATTCTTTCTGCTAATAGTATTTTTATTTTCATATTATATGGCACATAGGGGCTGGGGATTTAGCTCAGCGGCAAAAGCGCCTGCCTGGCAAGCGCAAGGTCGTGAGTTCGGTTCCCGGTACCGGAGAAAAACCAAA